GCCATTGATAATTAATAATAATAAAATGGGTATTACAAAGCATATTAGTTTTAGAGGGGTCCGAGACCCCATCACACCAAGTGTGAATCTAGTAGAGAATTCTCTCTATGTTGGGCACGAGTCTAACCTTGTTGAGTGTCATGCCATTTTCAGGATTAACTTTGTTAATGAGGACAATTTGGTAGTAGAGCAGTATGTAAAGAGTGATTATAGCTAAGATCAAACGAAAAGAATAAAGAAGTTAACAATTTGATAAAAATGTATGAAAAGGAAAAACTAAGAAGAGCTTATAAGTGTAAGAGGTTAAGTGAAATATATGACGTTATAAGTATGAATAATGAAATGATATAGTAACGATGTGTGAACAAGATAGTATTGATGATAATATATAATATTATGATGTGTGATGATGTTTGAGGTTCGATGATGGTGTTATAATGATAAATGTTATAATATGTAATAAATAAATGATGGGAATGTAGTAAAAAAGATGTGTGTATGATATGGTATTGATGTACGAGAATCTATAATGATGTGTGTGGTGGTGAGTCACTATGGATGATGTGGTGAGATGTAGTGGATAAGTTTAGGGTTGCAATATGAAAAATGTGATTGATGGTTGTTTCATATGTGTGTGACGATGTCATGTTGTTGTTAGAATACATGCATACATACTTTGTTTGCAAGATAGTGAGTCTATGTAGATAGGTCTCAAAGGTCATTTGCCTAAACCTTGGGAGTGTTATGGTAGGGAACCTCTTACGAGTAGTATGAGGCAATAATAGTCAACTATAACACTTTGGCAACACCTTGATAAATGTCCCTGTTTAAGGATGGATCAAGGGGGATCATTGGAGGGAGGTGATCCCTATATCGTAGGGGAAGTGGTCCATTTCCATGGATTTTATGTTATTTTGAGTTGAGGATGACGAGGGGATTTGGTACCACATACATGTACAATTAGGTGCATTCATTTATATGAGTTCATGTATACTAATGATAATTGTTTGGGTTGCCTGAATGAGCTTTAAAGTGAATTGATATAATTAAGATTATGTTGTTGATGATGGATAAATGTGAATTCTTGTATGAAGTCTAAATATGTTGTATGTATGTTAGTACTACTTTTATGCTTTATATATATACATATATATATATATATATATATATATATATATATATACACATATTGTACATGAATGAGATGTATTTTTAATCATTGTGTGTTGTTGTGTTTGTGTTTGGATTAATCGTCATTTACATGCATAGTTTAGGTATAAGAGGAGGAGTTTGATGGAGGCAAAGCTTAATACTTCACTAGTATTGGAATTCGCTTTGATAGTGTGACATTGAGACTCGGAGTTTATATTTTTTAGTCATACTTGAAGTTAGTTTGAATATGATGATTTATATTTTATGTTGAAAGTTTGTGTAAACAAGTGGATTTTGCCCTGTTTTGAATTTATGAAATTATTTGATTGCTTTTTATTTGAAGAATTGTAAACTCTTTTACTATAAAGTCATAATTAAGCATTTTATAATACTTTCTAATTTTAATTCTATAATATTAAAAAAAACCTTTATTTATTTTCATTTGAAATAAAAAGGTGTCAAAATTAGGATCTTATATTTGGATGAAACATAGTTGTACTATAGAAATAAGTTAAGGGTTAAAGCTAAGGTGGTTATGTAGATAGAAAATTAAATAGTCTACATTAGAAAATGTTCATAAGACCCTTTAACAAAATGACATAATGCATATCGTTATTATACGGCATGAGATATATTCTAGTAACGATCAGTAGATACACCGGTTTTAGAAGTATACAACAACGATTATTAATGTACAACCAATACTAAATATTAGTATTAAACTAAACAAGAAAGCAAGCTAAAGAAAACTGAAATACATCACAATCAATTATTCTTGTAATGACTAACACACAACAATAATTTTAAAAGTACGACATATATTCATGTAACAACAAAACATTGAATCAGATCTCCCAAGCAATTGATACCAATTAATTAAGTAGACTTCCAATCATTCTCACGAGCCATCGAGGCTTTCCTAGTAATAAAACACAACATCCCATGACCACTCCAAATACCATCCCACAACCATATCCAATAGCTACTGGTTTCCAACCAAATCCAAATTTATGTTCTCTCAAGACAGTCAGTGAAGGAGGAGAATGTTGTTCATTGTCCATGCCACATTTTTTTGACAATGGGAGTCCACATAACCCCAAGTTTCCCTCATAGGAATCGTTCATAAAAGTATTGAATTGTTTTCCCTGAGGTATTTCTCCCACAAGATGGTTATGAGAAAGATTTAGGAGTTCAAGAAAGTTCAAATTGGTTAATTCTATAGGAATTGTACCAGTGAGCAAATTTGAGGAGAGATCCAATGATTCCAACTTTGTCAAGTTTCCCATGGATTGGGGAATAAGACCATTAAGTCTGTTATGGGAAAAGTTGAGCCCTATGAGTGCATCAAGCTCTCCAATGACTTTTGGAATTTCTCCTTCAAATTTGTTTTGTGATAAATCAATGTTTACAAATTCCGTTGGAATTTTCCTGAATGTCAGACTCATAGATTTTGTTGTTATTGTCATATAGTCTGGATACATTGACCCACCAATAATATCTTCAAACAAGTATTTCAGATTGCCAAACACTGCATCATGAACTTGAAAGAGATTCGTCATGGCCTTAAAATTTTTTATGTAAGCTTTTGGTATTGGGCCGCTGAAGTTGTTAGATGAGATATCAAAAATAACTAAACATGGAAATGGATGCTTGGTCTTTAAATAAGTAATGGTACCATGAAACTTATTGGCTCGCAAGACCAGTGCTCTTAAATTTAGAAGAGTTTGAAGCCAATGTGGAAATGTATCCTCGATTTGATTGTTTCCCAGATTTAAAATCACCAAACTATTGCAATTGGACAAAGATTTTGGTAAAGGACCTTCCAATTGGTTTCCATTAAGACTCAGAGTTCTGAGTTGGTTGCTCCTTGAAAAGTTACTTGGTACAGAGCCAAAAAGTTTGTTCATTTGTAAATCTAAAACTCGAAGGAATGATAGGCTTGCAAGGCATTGGGGAATTATACCAGATAGCTTATTGTGGGACAAGATTAGAAATTCAAGTGAACTTGCATTGCAAATTGATGAAGATATGTCCCCAATCAGTAAGTTAAAACTAAGATCAAGGTAATAAAGTCCATAATTCATCGAGAATTGGCCCAATGGTGTTGTCAATAGGTTTTGAGATAAGTTCAAAAAAAACAATGAACCCATTTCATGCAACCAATTAGGAATTCTTCCATTCAATTTGTTGTTGGACAAATCCATAAATGATACATCTCCTGATATTGTCGGAAATTCAGTTAAACCCATAGAAGATAATTCCAATTTGATTAAGCGGGAAAAACTGCAATTGACATTAGATTCAAAATTTAGTGATAATTGATTATTATGGGAAAGGGAGAGAATTCCTAGATTTTGAAGCTCGGAGAAAAGTGAAAAATTGACAGAACCACTCAAGTTGTTTGATGATAGAAGTAAGATGGTAAGGTTTACAAGGCCGAAAAATGATTCATGTATATTGCCCCGTAGCTTGTTGTTGGTCAAATCTAAAATCTTTAAGGAGTAAGATGAGGTTGCACTAATATGCCCTGTGAACTGATTATTTGATAGAGATAAATACACCAAAGATGGTAAAGATAAGCACCAAGAAGGAATTGTCCCATTCAGTAAGTTGTGATCGAATCTTAAGTCAATCATGTTTGAAAATCCTGTTATTTTGTTGGGCAGATGGCCCTCTAATTGGTTTTCAGAACAATATAAATAAGAAAGTTGAGGCAAGTCAAACAACCATGATGGGATTTGACCACTAAATTTATTCAGTGAAAGATCCAAGAGAATGAGATGTTGAAGATTTGAAAGTGTTGATGGCAGCTCACCTCCTATATGGTTATCACTCAAATCCAATTCTTCAAATCGGTTTGACTGATGAAATACATTTGGGATTGAACCTTTGAGGTAATTAGATGAGAGATCCAGGAAAGTAAGGTTTGTGAGGTTAAAGAAGGAGGGAGGGATGGAACCGTTGAAGTTGTTTTCTGAGAGATCCAATATAGTAAGAGAAGTGCTACAACCGAAGCTCGGAAGTTGGCCTAGAAGGTTGTAATTATATGACATGTATAGGTGTTGAAGATTTGGTAAACAAATAATGTCATCATTTGTCAAGATTCCTTTTAGTTCACTTTCCACAAGACTAAGAGTTACCAAAGAGGAAGAGAGATTGAGTGATGACCTGATTGCAGTTGAAGACATATTTGTTTCATCCAAAACAAGCTCCCTTAAAACTGTTGCGTTTTGAAGCAACCTATTCCATGTGCTTTGTTTCCACTTTAACCGACCATTATAAGAGAGATCAAGTGATTCTAGTTTGGAAAGGTGTGAAATTTGAGAAGGAATTTCACCTATAAAGGAAGAGTCAGACAAGTTGAGGTGGGCGAGGTTTTCAAACCCACCAAAGAGAGGTGACATAGGAGAGTCAGAGAAGTCATTGAGAGCAAGGTTGAGTGATTGGAGATGAGAAAGTTGGAAAAGGGTACTATTTGGATGAATTTGGTTCTCAAGGCCACTTTGCATGAGGTTCAACCCGGTGACATGGCCAGAGATGAGGTCGCAAGTGACTCCTTGCCAAGAGCAACAATCGGTCCCATTTTCCCATGTTGTGATCTTTGAATCAATATCAACAGTGAAGGAGGCTTTGAACTGAAGCAAAGCAAAGTTGTCATGGGGATGGCATAAGGAATGAGAGGATGAAAATTGGAAGAGCAAGAATTGCCAACACACAAGCAACCATGCCTTCCATGATTCCATTGTAATTTGGGTGCAACTCCAAAAGTTCTCACTTAGACTTAAAAAGGAAAGTGTGCATGAGAGGGTAGAGCAAATAAAATGAATATTTATAGCTAGATTTAAAACACATGCAATATTTGTGGCTAAATTATGCTTTGATTGAAGGTTTAAGAGTCAAATCTTCAAGACTTCACGAGGTCCGTCCTTCACGCAATGTAAACCAATATTCCATTTTTAAACCAATATTCCATTTTTAAACAGTTCATTAAGTTGTATTAAATTCAGATTTTAATTAAAAGATTATTTTAATTTTAGAAATAATTAAAAATAATAATATTGAGTTGAAAATATTTTTCTATGTATATTAATATTTTTTTAAAAAAATGCTGTAAAATAACATATTTATTCAATTTATAATAACATTTTAACACATGTAAGTGAATAAATGTCGTTAAAAGAAGATGTTGATAAAAAAAAGTAAAATGTAGTAGTTTATTACTAAGAACATCTCCAATGTTAGGTTGTTTTTAAGTTTAAGTTTTCATTACTTATAAGAAACCTGCATTGGAACATGCTGACATGGCAGGTCAAATTGCTAAAATTTAAGCACGTTACTTATATAAGAGACGGTTGCTTAAGAATAAAAAAATAATTTAATATATCCTTCTTTTATTGATGCTAATAACTATAATAATTAAATTTTTTAAAATTTATTAAAAATGAAGTATGAGTGATTAAAAAGTAGAGGTGCTTATAAGCAATTTTTATTAAAGTAAAAATTATAAAAATATAATATAAGTTACTTATAAGTAATATAGGTATGAAATCCATTTAAAGTGAATGAGAGTTAGTATAATAGTATGTGTCGTTCTTATTACTTAACTACATGGAACGGTAAAAGTTCTCGTTAATTAGTTAATGCTCCACTCAAGGTTTACAAGATGTGTTCCATCATCTCGTTTGAGTTCTAGATGGCACTTTTAAGAAAGAAAGAATAATATAAAAATAAATACTTGAAGTAGAAAAATAAAAAGAAATCATGTTTGCAGAAAATGAGTTCCAAGTCAATTTGAATAGCAATAATGAGGACTACCTTAATAACGTAATGAAAGGTTTAGAAAATGAATAATGTTTTCTTGCATTGGCGTGAGGGATGGGGGATTAGGTAGTGAATTGGATTAAAACTTTAAAAGATTTTTTAATGATAAAAATGTTTTATGATATTTAATACATTTTTTAAAATAATATAAATATGATTTATGATATTTAACTGAGATTATTGAATTTTTTTAAAATGTCAAAATTTAATAATATTTATTATATCGAGACTGTTTAGCAGCAACAATAAGCCTTAAGGTACGTATTAAAACCATGAAAATTTTGATGAATTATTTTGTAAGATGAATTTTGTAAAAATCTGTGTTGGCCTTAACTTGGAAGTCTTTTTGCTAAAAATTGACATTTTTCCACAAAAATGATGAAACAAAAACATATGAATGTTTATGTTACCTCTCAATCTAACCTTTTTTTTTTTCTTTTCCCATTTTCCATCCTCATACATATCCTGTCATTTCCAATGTTTATATTAGTCTTGACAAATTTTTTTAATGAGGGATACATTATATTTATTAGAGAAACACAATCAAAATACATTTTTAATAAAATTTCTTCTAAAATTTATCTACAAGAGATATCATTTATATTTATTTATTATAGTTAAAAGACAAATAAAATATATTAATATTAATATAACTAGCTTAAGGATAAGAGATAAATCCTAAAAAAATATATATAGAAACCTCGTAGATAGAACAATTAAGCAATTGTACCTAACTAGTTGTCCATTTTGGCGCAAAACGACTTCCGAGTCAAGGATAATAACAATATTTGAAGTGACACGTTATGTATGCTGTGGAAAATGGGGAAAAAAAAGGAATGTTGGATTTGTAGCATTACCACGTTTTACTTCTTTATTAGCATTTATCTATTTATATTTATTAAAATATTATTATAAATAAAGTACTATTTTTTTTTTATCTTAATGCTATTCTTTTTAATTATTTCTAAAATTAAAGTCATACATCAAATAAAAAATATCACATCAAAAATATTTTTTTTCTATCTCTAATTATTTTTTAAAATTAAAATCTCATATCGAGTAAATAAATAACATATAAAAAGTATATATAATTAAAGAGTAATACTTAAGATAAATAAATTTGATATTTGATATAGATTTGATGATAACTAATTAAAAATATCTTCAACCTTAAAGAACTTATAAGAGGGTAAGAACATAAAATATAAGTGATATCAACATCTATATTAAAATTAATTATTATTTTATAAGTTTAACTAAAACTTAACAACACTATTAAAATGTTGCAAAAATATCATTTTAATAATATTTTTTAAATATTATAAAAATAAATTAAGCGTTTAGGGAGAGGTCATATTATTTCTCAATGTTAGACCAAGAAGACCATGGTCTTAAAGGGCATGGATGACTGCATCTTTTTCCTCCACCTTTAGTGATAGTGAAGAAGAAGGGAGAGAGAGCTCAAGTGGAGAGGAAACTTACCTGGTGATCTCTTGATGGTTAGAAGGCTTCTTGGAAGCCAATCTTGTGAACTAAACCAATCACAAAAAGAGAACTTATGTCATACAAAATACAAATTTTTTTATAAAACTTGTTCTCTCATTATTGACAATGGTTCATGTAGTAATGTTTTTGGTACAAGGTAGTGCTCACTACCATTTCCAAGCCAAAGGCTTATAGACTTTAATGTTTGAATGACAAAGGGACAATTGTAGTTGACCAACAAGTGACGATTATACTTTCCATAGGAAACTATAAAGATGGTGTTTTATGTGATGTAGTACCTATGAAAGTTAGTCACATTTTGTTGGAAAGGCCATAGCAATTTGATAAAAAAAAACTATTAATAATGGCCTTACCAATAAAATAACTTTCAAACATATGGATAGAAAATTTGTGTTGCATCCTCTTTCACCTTTACAAGTTGAGGGTCAACTACAAATGCAACATAAGAGTAAGCTAGGCAACCAAGGTTGCTTAACCTAGGGTGGCTAAACGCTAAATTCGCATTTCAAATTCAAATTTGGACATCCAAAACCACAACCATGTGCACATGTGTGCTTCTAGATCTAAGTTCCACATTAGCCAATGAGAGTAGGCTATATGGCAAGCAAGGAAGATGTGAATTAATTTTAATGCCATGTGATTAACATTTGAATTTGAATTTAGTAACACCATGTGTGCCCATATCAACTTGGTCGGCCACATGTTCTCCTAATTCAATTCAAATGTTAATGGATGGCCCAAAAATAAGTTTCACCTCCTAGGTCCAAAATTACACAAAGCAAAAAATTATAATAAAATCCCTACACTACTTGATCCAAAATATAAGGCCTAAAATAAAGGAAATATATACAAGTATGTAAGAGACATTGGGCTTAATTATTTAGTAGCCCATAACCCAAGATGAGCTAAGGCCCACTAATCTCAACATGGGCCTAATCCTCTTAGACCCTTTTATCCTAGCTCATTCCTTTAGACTTTTTTTGGATGGCACCCCTTGGCATGATTCTATCATTCCCTCCCGCTTGAAAATGATTTGTCCTCAAATCTAGAGTTCCCTCCTCCTTTACAACTCATGCAAAAGATAATTTTTTACAAGTAGAGATGTGATATGCTGGCAAAGCTAGAGAACATATCATAGAGATCCTTTTTAGGTATGGGATTGGTTTATCCTTAAGGATTTTTGTTTTCTTGGGGTCCTCTTAAACTCTTTTTGAACTAAGACCATATCTTTCTACAATTAAATCCTCTTGCCTTCCTATAGGATGAAGTGATTTAGAATCACTAAAACTAAGAAGTTTTTTAGGAGCAAGGTATTGTTCCCAAGAATGGAAAGGTTGAATAAAAGCATTGAACACTTGGTTATAGGTGGGGTAGTTGAAAGTAACTCCATACGAAGTTATTTTAAATGAAGCAACATGATACCCATCTTTCAACAAAGTAGCTCCCACACCCCCTTTAGATGCATGATATTCTAGCTCAGTTTTTGAAAATGTTTGATAGAGTTAGAACATTTGCATAGAAAAGCTCTCTTTGTAAGAGTTGAAAAGCCTGCTCAAGTTTTTCCTCCCTAAAGGAAGAAACAAGATTCTTCTCCAACTTATTAAGTGGTGAGACAAGAAGATAGAGAGTACTTTTGATTTTACTTTTTAAAGACAAATGACTCTCTTAGCAATCTCTTGAGAAAAAGATTCTTCCTCCTTCACTTTCACTTTCTCCTATTTCCTCTTTTCCTTTCACAAGTTTCGTTTGTGTTTGATCCTCTACCTCTTGGGTAGGTATAAGAGGATATAGCACTAGTTTCTTGTCTTTATGAGGGTAGGTATAAGTCATTATGCATGAATTTCTTGTCAAATTGTCATGACCTTTTCAACAAGATGTGACAAGCTTCCATGAAAACTGCATCACATAAAACTTTATCTTTGTAGTTCCCAATAGAAATTTTGACCTTTACTTGATGTTGGACTACCATATCCTCCTTTTTATTAAATCATTGAAGCCTATAAGGTTGTGAATGAGGAATAGTAGTGATGACTAACTTTACAACCATCCTTGTGAATGTTATAAAGATAACTATTTTTTATGTTAAAAAAATACATACAAAAAAAAATCTTGATAGTCTTGATAGTTATCAAGATTATGATATTTTTCGATTATGAATTTGATAATAAAAAAAACAGTTTCTTCAATAATAAAACTTTCATAATTATTAATTATTGGTAATATGTAAAGTAAAAATATTTTTGCTACAATTTCTTTTAAAATTTAAAGATTATTTTTAAATTATAAAGTAATTTGTAAAATTTTTTTTTTGTAGTATGTAAAGTAAAGGTTTTTTTAAACAAAAAAAATTGTTATATCTTTTTTAAGGTAACTGCAACAATCTCCCATGTTTTTACTTTTAAAATTAAAATATATTAGTTGTGGCCAGAGCTGGATAGTATTAGTTGTGCAAAAATGGTGGCCAAATTTTAAAAATAAATAAATAAAGTTGTAATTAGTTGTTGGTTGGAAGGGGGACGAATTTTCTTTTTTACATTTTTTACTCCAAATATATAAGCATTTCATATTTTGGTTTGGGGTTCCACTATAATACGTAGTTTCGTCCGCGATGGTTACAAGTAAAATATCTCAATTCTCAGTCTCAAGTTAACTCTTAGATTCTTACTATTTTACCATCTTAGATATTTAAAATGAGTTGAAATTATTATCAAACTTTTATTTTTACTCAATTGACCCCATGACAACCTTGTAAGAGGGCACAAATAATTTGAAGAAATTACTTTCTACAGAAACGACCAAAGTAAAAATATTTATTCCTTCAAAATATAATCCTTAGTTAACACAGAATGTTTATACAAGAATTTAGAAAGAAAAAAAAAATACAAACCTAGATTGTATTGTCATATCACAACCCACCTTTAGCCACCAATAACCCTACACTGTACATAAGAACAAAGGAAATAAGTAACCTGGAAAGGCTATGATTTCCGATGAACTATTTATGATATTAGTGTACTTAAAGTATTTACATATAACTATTTATTATATTAGCATATTTACATATAAAATGTTAAAACATGTTGACCACCCCCGCTCAAGCCAAGTTTCTAGCTCCACTCTAGAATCATCTATACGAAAACTAATGAACCCAGATGTTCAAACTAAATTAAAAGTTACACATAATGAAAATAGCATAAAAATAATTTAACAAGCAATTGAAAAATAAAATAAAATACATCATATTCTTTTTATTACTCATGAAATTTATTTATTTTTATGCAATTTCAACTACATTGTTTATTGCTAATTTTATTTCAAAAATCAATTGAGTTTCGTAATTTAATTTTTATGTAATTAAATATAATGAGACAAATTTCATGTTTTGATCAATTAAAAATATATCTAAAATCATGTCCCAAGATTAAAAACTTTCAATTTTTGTTTAAAAGATAAAAGACAAATAAATTTTTTAAAATATAAATTGCAAATAAATCTTAGCCTAATCTATAAAAAAAATTCGAAAATAATATAATTATACATTTCATAGGCAAGGGATTAATTTTGACCAACATGAAAGAAGTTCCATTCCAAACTCATGCAACCCAAGGTTGAGTAAAACTAAAGATGAGTAGATTCAGAAGAGTTCACAAAACAGTTGTAGATCATCAGAGTGCACACAACTTAATTAAGCCTAAGAGCTTGAGCATGATGTCGGATGTGATCATCGATGAAGGTGGCAATAAAATAGTAAGAGTGATCATAACCAGGTTGAAAACGTAACAGAAGTGGAACATTAGCCTTTTTGCAAGCTTCTTCAAGCTTGTGAGGCAGCAGTTGATCAGGCAAAAATTTATCGTCTTCCCCCTGAAAAGTGGATCAGCAAGAGGATAAAACCAGCATAAACTTAGTAAAAACAAGTTTATATAAACTTCTCTAAATATACTTGTAAGGGAAGAAAATAAGAAGAAAAAATGAAATTAACATCTCCATAAATTAATTTGAAAAAGTTAATTTGTAAAAATTCTCACATATCAGTATATGGAGAAGATAATTTCATTTTTTTCATAAGTACTTATGAAGAAATTTATCTAAAATAGGCCCTTAAGAATATGTACGTATATGTTTATATGAAATAAAATCATGCCATATGACAAATAGTACAATATCTGGCAGACCATTTTTATTTATTTACTAATATATCTGCCAAAACTGGATTCTTACACATTAACATGAAATATAATATAATAAAAAATTACAGAGTATCGGTAGCTAAAATTTTGTCACTCTTTAAATCATTCACAAGTTTTTTTTCCAAAAAATAAATAAATAAACAAAAATCATAATCTTTTTACCTGATCAATCAAAATGCTGGCAGATACATTGGGAAACTTCGTAACCAAATAAGTGGCATCATAATCCTGCATTTTTAACTTCTTATTATAATGAAATATCAAGACTTGCTATGTAAAGCAAAAATGCAGTTTCCCAATCAAATTTACCTCCCAATCAGATTTATTGTCACCCAGATAATTCGAGAATGCCTTCTGTCCCCAAGGACAATTTATAGGATTTGCTATTGGTGCGAAGGCAGAAACTGACTGGAACAAGCATGTAAAGAAACATAAGAAAAGCAAGTTAGAATCCAAATAATAAACAGTTTTGTTAATTATGAAAAGGTCAGCAAAAGGATGAAATAATTGTCTCTAACTTATACCGAACATAATCAGCGATGCAGATTGCAACAATTTCATCTTACAGGCTTTTTAAACAGTAAACTAAAAACGAGTGTCCATTCATTTCTAATATTATCCATTCTTGAATGTCCACTCACCCCCACCTCAACATTCTCTTATGGACTACACACTTTTTTTCTTATTGGCACTTTACTGTTGAATATTAACGACCATAAAGAATTTCCATACATAAAAATTTTTTAATCCAATTTTCTTTTCATAGAAACTCTGCAACCGCAGTTTACGCTTGAAGCATTATTTATTTAATGCACCCCAACTAGAATTGTGTGTTGCAACCACGTCACTTTAAATACCTTGACTATGCAATTGGTGGTATAATCCCCAATTTTTATCCATAGCACTTACTCTTACGTCTAAGCTATATTTAACGAAAATATCTCATTCCAAATCTTCAATTCAAACCTCAAATTAAGAAATAGAAATAACTACTTGATGCATCAACTAGGACTCTATCATATGTAAGAAGCATCATTGTGCACTTAAATGGGCCCAATAAAGTACAACTAGCTAAACTAAGGAAAGAAGATATAGTTGAAATGTCAAACCTTGAGCAAACCTATTAATATAGGAAAACCTTCTGTTGCCTCTTCAGATCCAAATCATCCAATTCAAAAGTTCCCAATTATTCACAACACCTAAAGAAATGGATGCCCCAAGAATTCCCCTAACATTCGGTATTTAAAAATTGATGCAAAGAAGAAACACAATAGACAGAATGCAGCATCTATATGAATAATCACCACCTACAATCTATCAAAAAATTCTTGCCTTTGTAAAGAAAACGTGAATTATCTTAGTACAATCATATGACAATTCTTCCAATCAAGCTCTACAAAACCATTCACAAAGGAGTTCCTTTATACCAAGAAATTGAAAAACAACAAAAATCATCTCTAAGATTATTATAGTGGAGTTTTAGTCTGGTTTTTTTCTTTATGTTGTTATTAGTTGTTACAATTGTAACTTGTATTGTACGTTTTAGTTGTTATAGCTATAGCTTGTATTGTACATTTCACTGCTTTCTTGAGTTTAGCTATCATCCTGTAGTTTTAATTACTATGTTACATTTATAGATGCCTACAGCCAAGGTTATCAAAAAACCGTTATAACGCGGCTATAACGGTATGGCGTGGCGGTTTTGGGCCTCGCCGCCATTCGCCATCCGCAAAATGGCGTTTTGTGGCTCCGTCCGCCATTTTCG